CCGGCGTTTTTTATTAAACAATACCCGTTTAACCATGTATATTTTTTTTTTTGTTTTTTAAAATGTTACCGTAAGCCAGTATGTTTTATTTCTCCCGTTTGTTTTTTTTTTTTCAAAATGTTCTTTTCGATTTTTGTTTCTTTGTTCCTAAAAATGATCTTCTTAAAAATGACGTTCTGTGTTTTTTCTCTTTAATTTTTCATTTTTTTTTCTCTTCTCCCTCTCTTCCTACCCCCTCCGATTTTTTGTTTTTTCTTGTTTTCTTCGTTCCGCTTTTTTTTTTCTTATTTTTCTTTTTTTTTTTCTTTTATTTTTCTTTTTTTTTTTTTATTTTTGTTCCATAGTTTGCTTTTTTTTTCTTTTTCTCCCCAATTTTAGTTTTTTTTACTTCACACAGCGCCCTCTCCTAAATTCTAAAAATGTTTAGGTTTTTTCTTGCGCGTTTTTCATTTTCTTTTTTTCTTGTTCCGCCCCAGTTTTCTTTTTACCCCCCGTTTTTTCTATGTTTTTGTTTTTTTCTTAAGTTAGTCCTGTTTTGGTTTTGCTTGTTATTTTTTTGTTATTAATTTTATTTTTTATTTTCCTCAGCTTCTCCTTCATTGCGTTCCTTCCCCGTTTTCTTCAGTTCCTTGCTTTTTTGCCGTTCTTTTGCTCCCACCTCGCCCCTCCAGCTTTTTTTCCCCCCCCGCCGGGTCCTTCTCCAACTTCCCTTCCATTCCACTGTAAGATTGCCAATAGTTTCATTTTTTTGGGCACGCACCTCACCTGCTTTTCCCACCCCGACACACCCCCACGACCACACTTATTCCCTGTTTCTTTCTCCCACACTCCTCCCTCGCTCCTTCGTCATCGCTTTTTTTTCCTTTCTACCTTATTAGTCCTCGTATCGTTCCCCCTGCTTTGTCGTTTTTTTCCCCCTCCTCCCTGGCCCCCCCACGCTTTTTCTCCGTTTTCGCCTACCGTTCCCTTCCTCCTGCCCTTTTTATTCTCGGGTTGTTTTGTCCAAATCGTGTTTTCTTCCGTTATTTTGGCATGTGACAAGACAGCCCCCGTGTTTTATTATCAAGGTTCGCTTCGTTTTTGCTTTTTCGTTGACATGTTTGGAGTGGTTTGTTGGTCTTTTTTTGTTTCGTCTTACCTACTACTCAAAAATCGTTATTTGTTTTTTTCCCGTGTCTCTTTTTCTTTTTGTTTTTTTTTCTATTCTTCTTTTTCGTTTTTCTCGCGTTCTTTTTATCTTTCCCGTTATTTTTTTCTTTAATCAGTTTTCTCTAATGTTCTTGCTTCTCTCAATATTTTGCTCTTTTCCAAAATCGTTTCCGCTTGTTTTGTTTTCCGTTTTAAAACAGTTCAAAGTTTCCAATCGTATTTTGCGTTTATTTATTTTTGTTGGTTTCCTAAGTGCTTTCTCACACGGTAACACGTTATTATTTCGCGTATTCCTTCCTTTTTTTTTCTCTTCTCTCTCTCTTCCCCCTCCTCCCTTCTCCTTACCCCTGTTATTTTCTTTCTTATCCACATCTTCTTTCTCCTCACCTGCCTAGACTCCTCGTCGTTTAGTTTTTTTTTTGCTCCTCAGGCGCCTTTATTTTTATTATTTTTAATTATCTTCATGTTGTTATTTTATTTGGTTCTCATCATACTCTCTCAGGGCTTCGTCCTACCCTCATTACTCCTGTTTTTTGTTTCGTTTATTTTTTTTTTTCCCCCGTCCCTTTTTTTTCTTCCTAGCTTCCCGCCCTCCTCGTTTCACTTCACCCTTTTTATTTTTAGTCTATTCACAGCACACTTACACTACCGGTTAGATTTCTATTTATTTTTTTAGTTTGATTGTTCTCTTTACTTTTTTTCATCGACTTCTATTTTTTGGTGGCGGACCCATGAAGATATTGTTCTTACTACTTTGGTTCTTTTCAAAAAACCAACAGCCCCGCTTTCCGTCTCCGGATCCAACTCAGTCATTGTTCTTGGTTCCCTTTCTTCATTTTCTGTTATAGTTCTTCTAACCCCCAACTAACTAAACAGGTTCCAGACTCTAAATCATTGGCTTATCGAAGCTTCTCCTATTCATCTGATGAAGGAACTTTCTATATATTTATCACTGTCAAGGTACTGCACATACTGTAATTTGAATTCTTGTAATCGTATGATCACCACCCGACCATTCAAATATATTCTCGTGCTCGCTCACCAAAATGCCACCCGTATTTCATTCCAGACAGAAACCCCTGTATTACCTTAGAATGGCACTACTGGGAGTCCAGAGACTGATCTGGCTAGGTGTCGCCTCGTCAAGCCCCTACAACACTCTCCGGTGTCGAACTCACACCAGAATCAAAGCAGTCAACACACTCCTCCTTACACTGACACACAAGCACTGCAAATCAAAGCCCAACCTGCACACACACACCAACCGATATTGACCAAAACCACCCCTGGGAAGCCAAACCACTACCCCCCTTGGGGAAGCCAACCGAGCGACCGCCACCTATTCCTCCTAGTCATTACAATCGGGTAGTTACAAATTTACGCTTAACACACTCACATCTGTTCATCTATAGTGCACTAAGTGTTTTTCCTTTCCTTTCTCTTTTACTCATGTGCCTAAAGTCCTATAGGCACAGGAAGCAGAGTGGTGAACGGGAGAGATGCAATTGAAGCGAATTGCGCATATTCACCAAATGGTAAGTCAAAGTGAAGTGTTTACCATTTCCCACTCTAGTGAATGGCGGTTTGTCTTTTTTCTTCATGCCTGCTAATTGTTGAGAAACCGAACCCCTTAATGGTGGAAGGGGGGCTGACGTAAGGGGGTTGACTATTGGACTATTCCATACTTTAACAATGGTGAAAGAAAATATGATGGTGGATTATTCTTTTCTCTGCTAAAATTTATATGCCTGCCTGCACAAAAATGCAAAATCCTTGAAAACGCCTTATTGGAGGTGAGAGGGGAGTATAATAGGGGCAAACCCAAGACGGGGGTAAGAATGTTAATAGGTATCGTGTCACAGTGGAGTATGGTGTTTGCTTTTTAACAATGCTATTGTTGGCACAAACGAGCGCTAACGTTGCTATCACCGCTTCCCCAATCACGGCTGTTGTTGAGAACTTGTCCGTACGTCGCAACTTTTCTAGCCTAGGTGCTTCACAAGATACACTCTACACCTCCGAACACTATAAAACCTGAAGACATCTCACACGTCCCCATCCTAAAACTCATATTTATTCCTGGATGGCTTTTATTGTTTTTTTTAGCGGTATTCCAAATTGTCCCTGTCCGCCATTTCGACGTACCCGTGTCTGCTAACCCTTAGTTGCCTTCTATTACTACCTCGTTTGTCTGCATACGCCAAACTACTGTCTTCTACCACCCCAACATGTCTGCTACAACTACACAGCACCCAGCTCTCTGTCTACCCCTATCTCCTTACAGCGAACCCAGGTTCTCTTCTCCCCTTCTTCTCCCACCGATCACACACGCTTCTACCATCCCCCCCCACAACCCTATCACCGCCCTCTCTACGCTCCTTCACCACTTCCTCCTTTTTCTTCTCCCCCCTCCCCCCACCCCCACGGATCCACAGAACCAAACCAGTCAGCCGCCTCGTATCCCCCATCCGATTCTCCACCTCTCAGGGTCCCACCCGACCCGCCGCGTTCCCCAAAAAAACCGCCCCTACAAACCGGCGCAACGGCAAAATCACCACCCTCCTTAGGAATATATACATGTCTCCCCCGCACGCCCAAACCGACCCCCGGCATTTTAACTTCTATATCCGCTCTCCTTCCGCGTCCGCATCCAACCGGCACCGCGGGGAGGGACGTCCTGTCCCTCCCCCCAGTCCCGACCAACCCACCACAACACCCCACCTTCCCTATCACAACTCCGCCCCTGAAACCCCCGAACCCAACACACTCGACAGAAGCCCCCAGCCTTGCTCACGAATCCCGCATCCCTTCATCAGAACCCCCCCAGCACAGCCGGGACCCCGCCCGACGGTTCTCCCCGACCTACCAGGAGCTTCTTCCTATGTCTGCTACCTTCTCCACCCTCAACCACAACCAGAGACAGAGCAAGAAAAAAGTGAAAGCCTTACCTTGTAAAGACTGGTCCACTTTCCCCCCCTTTGGACCTCCCCAGGAGGTTTCTCAGCCCTGGACCTGAATAGTGGCCTTGACTGCTTCCATACTCTCCCTGTGTTCGCCCACCACCCCAAGGCCCAAACACAAACCAACAACCCGCCCACCACACACCCACCCCCACCACACAGATACGCAGCGCTTTTTCCTCTCTCACGCCCTAACTCGCAAACCCCATTGCCCGCCCCCCCGCACCCCAAGACACCACAACCCCCCCCACCCACCCCTCTTCTCCTCCCCTCCCACCGTCTGAGGAGAGGGAAGAATGGCCACATAATACTTAGGGAAAACCCAAACCATAAGTACCTCCGTCAGTCAACGAACGACCGACGTACGGCCAACCCATCACCAAATCACCAACCAGGGCTGTTGTCGACCCGCCAACATAAATTTTTTTTTCGTATTCCCACGACCTTACATTTGTAACGAGTTTTGACCAATTCTTTTTTTTCAGCATTAGTTCGGCACGGAAGGGCCCTTGTCCTTTCACAAGTAATAACCTTTGCTCGCTTTGCGCCTCCTCTACTCCCATTCTCCATATTGAGGATAGAGGGCATTTTTACCCTTGGCCTTTGAGGAGACATGACGTGGACCCGAGCCTACCGTGTGGAGAATGTGTCTTGCAGTCTATGCAGGACACTGATGAGACAAACCACAGCTCTTCTCTCTAAACTCTCTAACCAGCTCTCTACCCCTCCTAGCCCACTCAAAGCCGTCTCTCCACAAACATTTCTTCTCAACCTTTACTCTTCTCCTCTACCTCTCTACGCCACCCTCGACCCTCTATCTCCCAATGGGTGTGTGCGAATCCAGCACATGACAAACAACATCACAATAGTCACCTCACCGCCGGGAGATTCGCCACTGGCAGTAGAGCTGCACTCACCATGACTACACTAAAACCACACACATGGGAGCATCAATCACAAGCATATGTACCAGAGTACTAGTACAAACGACGGCGGACTTCACTCAACGAGGCTGTGTGACCCATTTGGGAGCTTTTGAGCCAACCACGAAAGCATTCTGGGTGGGGGAGCACTTCTATGCCACCGTTTTTCATTCACAGTCAAATCCTAGGGTCTCAAAAGTACACGCCATGATTGCAAGGTTCCATCTTTGTGCAGAGGATTAGTAATAGAGGTGAGACCTGAAGCCATAGTGGTCCCATATCTTGGCGAGGGCAGCCAGTGAGGCTCCTCTGTGAGATATCTTCTCTGGCCACCCACTGTACACCGGGACACAGTCCCCTGATCCACTGGATAGTGCCACCTGCAACACTCTGTGTCATCAGTGGGGAGGGAGGGAGGGATGCTTGCTCATTGCTTGAACAACCACACACTATTGGTACAAGCAAGTGTGATATATTTGTTCTGTACACATGCACTTGGACATGTATAATATTATAGCAGAGACTAAACTGGCAGGCATAAATCAGACAACAGCAGCTTGTTTCACTTGTCATAGGTAATATAAGGGGTCGTGGTCACTGAATATAAGTACAATACTGCAAGTGGTGCTATTGCAGCCAAGAGACAGGCAGACAGACTGACTGTGGAGGGTCTCTCCCCAGGTCCAGTAGAGCTCTGCTCTCCTCCAGTCTCCCCCAGCCTGCCAACAGCTGAGGGTGAGAGAGTGGCAACACCAGTTGGGGTGATACTGCCATGGATCTATCAACACGGTGAGTGGGATCTTTGGCTAGGAAAGCCGAACAGGAATAATGTTCAAACTGTGCCTGTACTATATGTGTATCTGATACAGAACTGCCTCACATACTGTAATGTACGTACATCAACTCTAACTATCGAGTATGCCAAACTCTTGTGCTTTCTCTGAACTAAAAACTGTCTACACCATTACCCGCCTTCCCCCTTCCCTCCTAATTATAGCTGTACACTGACTACTGACTGGTTGTTGGAGCTCCTTTGCACTGGATGTCAGTCTCTTCAGAACCGAGAGAGCGTCTTCACCTGAGAATGGCTGCAGTTTGTGGAGCCAGGCCTGGTGGGAGGTGTACGTAACCGTCACTGTAAGAGACATTTTGGTTTGTACATGCGTGATGCTAGACAAACAATATAATGGAGGGTCATATGTAATATGAAAAGCACTAAAGGGCAAACCCTCGGCACACTGCGCATGCCTTGCATGGATAGCAAGGCACGTGCATTCATGCAACACTCTAACATGCAGCTATAATAATACTCCATATTTTCAAAAAGGCAAACCAGGCAGTGTTGGAGCTGTTTGGTGTTGTTCTCATGGAGTGCAAGACGAACTGCTTCATGAATGGCCCTCGTTCCCTCCTCCCTGCAGTACACATACATTCACATTTGAATAGAGCTAGTGTGGAATAACATGGGTTGGATGTGGAAAGGGAAAGTGAGCTGGCTAAGAAACAAGATGGCTATTAAGCGCAGTAGCAGCAGAAATTCAGAAGTTGTGGTCTTGTGTCTGGACCGGCCCCACAATAACAAGAGGAAAAGGGTTTAGTGACAATTGGGCAATTTGTTTGGTTGGGTTGAGTCGATAGTCTTACTTTTGAGACACATTTTTAAAAAACATTGCACTAAACAGGTCCATGAACTAATCAACGAAACTGAGCGTTCTTGTAGATATCCTAGAGGATCAACCAAGATATTGATTGCTCAATAGTAACCAGACCCTTTTCCCTTCTGTGAAGGCGGGGTATATGGGTAGGAGACTACAGCAGTTGAAAAGTCCCCAGAGACTGACTTGTGACCAAAGTAGTCATGGAGTGCAGCCACTTTGAGAGCCTCAGAACTGGGGTCACGTCTCGAACTCTCCTTCTTCCCGTTGTCTCCCAGAGAGATGAAGTCATGGTGGTGGTGGCTAGGGAGAGTCAGCTCAGCCAGGGCTGACATGAAGTCCTGCTTCTCCATGTAGACCTCCACTCTATCGCCAGACACCTGTGTACCAGCATTGTATAGGGAGTAAAACATATAGGAGGTAGAGAGGAAACAAACTTTGCACTCTCTTCCCCCCTATTCAGCACATATAAAAGTAGCAATTTTAGGCATTCAATACACTTCCAACTGATGTCTTTCCTACCACAGAGAGTCAGAGACCCTCTTTCCTTGCCACCTCTTTTTGCAGACGGTGCATAAACAGCGAACAATTTTATCCTTGCAAGTTTTCCCGTCATAAATTTGCTACTAACCACCACTGCCCCACCTTCGTCGAGGCGGATGTGGTGGAGGTGTCAGTGGTAGTTAGTGTCCCCCACTCTTTGTGCAGCCGTACCACTTGGGAGAACGTTAGACACTTGTAGCCACTCACACACTGCGATACAAACACTCCTGCAACAACAAGGGGTCATGTGGAACAACAGTGCCACACCTTTTACTCTGGTAATGTCAGCACGCACCAATAAAAGCACAGGCCAGTCAGCACACACAAATTCATTCACTAACAGGTAACGGAGTCTTGACAATCGGTTATTGAAATGAAGGCTCCTGGATTTTAATCATGCAGTGCTGGGGTCACTGGTAAGTTGAATTGAGAGGTGTCTGGACACTGCTATCTGATGCCCCAGTGTCTGAGTATATACACGGCTCTTGCTAGTGCTATGGATGCCGTTTGAATCACTAGGCATTCAGCTAGAGTAAAACAGCAAATTAATCCATGTAGTCACATGCTGGTATACATATCCATACCCAGGACAGGAGATACGGGGAAGGTGGATATCAGTGGAGGCTTGCTGTTCTCATCGTCTTCCAGAGTGGGTGAGAGAAGATTGACCAGATCCTTCTCAAACAGGTCCATGAATCTGGTCAGGCTCCTCCCTGCCTCCTCAACACTACACACAACACACATCAACTTCAACTCACTGAATATGCACACACACATTCGAATTCACATCAACATTTATTCATTGTGATAACACATTGATTCCAGCTCACTAGTTCATGAACTTGGTAGTAAGTGAGGCATCTTCCATCACCTGCAAACTCTCTACCAGACTGTGTAGTGTCTCCTCCTGCACATCATCACAACAAAATCTATCTGCGGGCTTGAATAATTGGCCAATCTAGGAATTCAAAGGTTCTTAGCTCTCAATGTAGGATGCGCCACCTATATGCATTTTGGCTGTCACCGGTTACCCGCGAGGACAGTTGTACCTGTTGTGAGCCAGTTACTTCGACTTGCGATCCCTCCAGGGAACACACGGCTTCCAGTAATAGCAGAATTAGGTCCACGTTCTCGCACGGATCTTCACCATACTCACTCCACACCTTGAGTAGTACCAGCACCGGTAATACCCTTGGAGACAGCGCATTCTGGCTCTCCCGGCGGTCTTCGCAGAGGTTCATGCTACTAGCGGACACACGTGCTCTTGCGCATGAGCGTTGATAGGTGCGCTCAAATTGGAATCTGGTTCGAAAATGGACGAAGCTGATGTCGCCGAAGGGAGCAGAGAAGAGCTGCAAAGAGGACTTTATTTAGTCGATGAAAAGATCATATGTGGTACATGATACTACACTCCCTATAACGTTGAATCAAAGCTTAAATAAAGCTTCCACGCGGTGTTTCCTTCCCAGACTACTTCCAGCGGGACCAGCTGTGGAGGTGGGAGATGTCCCCAGTGCTGGCGGCTGCGGCGACGCTGCAGACCATGTTGAGGACCAGCCACGCGTCCCACCATCAGTGCTATTGGCAGGCCATTCAACTTCTGGAGTACATCCACTCACAGTCTCCTCAGCCCCTGGGTAACGAGGTGGAATATGTGGACCTGCTAGTGGAGCTGAAGACAAGAGTGAGTCCTGGGGAGCTGAGGAAAACAGTGTATCCAAACCAGCTAATGCTCTCTTTAACCATCTCCCAATAGATAGATTCATAAATAAATGGCTTGACCCGGAAGCTATTTTACCGAAATGTTACTCACAATGCACTATAATAGTGTTGCCTAAATTAAGCCACTACATAGAGTGAAGGATACACTAACAAACCATCCTGACTATAGCTGAAGAGTGCCTTACAATCCACTCTCAAAAAATGGGGTGGCCTACATTTTATGTTGGTAAGGTGGCCTAAACTTTTCGTACTTTTAGTGAGTATACGAACGGAAAGACAGGCTAACAAACCATCCTAAATACCTTGACTATAGCTAGAGAGTGCAGTGCAATACATCTTTAATACTTACCGTTAAAATTGGAATGGCCTAGATTTTGTATAATGCTGGTAAGATGGCCTAATTTTTTCGTACTTTTAGTGAGTACACGAACGGAAGGGGAGGCTAACAAACCATTCTGAATACCTTGACTAGAGTTGGAGAGTGCAGTGCAAAGCACCCTTAATAGTTACTGTTGACAATGCGGGGGCCTGATGAGGTGGCGTACTTTTTTCTTGAGAGGAAGGATAGGCCATAAAAATTATGTACCTTGACTATAGGTGAAGAGTGCGGTGCAATCCACCCTTCTATACGTCAGCGGGATACTTACTTTTGTATGCTAATATTTTTTCATTTTACGCATGTCACCTACCTTAGATAATTCCTAGGAATCAATCTTTGTATATTGAGGTGCAATAGTTTGTACCCTACAAAACTTTCCTGCAATAGAGTATGTTCTCAACGAATACACTGTATAATATAACTGCACTACGGTGTACATGTGATCCCAAAGAGCCGTAGCTGTTGGCAGTCGTGTTTGTTCCCTTGTTTGCAGGCAGCGCTGTATGAGCTGTTTGAGGAGGTGGTGATCACGGAGCAGAGAAAGAAAGAGGTTCTGACCAAGTTTCTCGGAGAGCCCTCAGACCAGAATGTGACGGTGTGTTAACACGTCATCACCACGCACACATCCTTGCCATGAAAACTATAGTTATCTATTCTCCCAAACTAAGGATAAACCAATACTTTGATGAACATAATAGCTACCCAAAGACACAATAAGTTGTATGGCTGTGGTTATAGTACTACATGGCACTACCGGATGTTTTCTGATGCATTAAGTACGTAACACGTGCAGTATCATAATTACAGAGAGCCACTCATCCTGCACGTGCTTTGATCGGCGTACAGGGTGATATGGTGGCGTACTCGGAGAGCCTCCACAGTCGGGCACGACAGGGACTGGAGAGACTCCTGTCCTCCGACCAGCAGTGGATGACCTTCAGACGCATGAACCTCTTCGACTGTGAGAAGAGTAGCACCGCAGACGCTTCTCTCCTCAGAGACCTCACCAGGTAGGGCTCATTGGCCGGCTACCTACCTTTGTTTCCATCAAGTTATGTATGTACATATGAAACAGTGTATATATACACAAAGGATTCTTTAAAGAAGGGATGGGGTTAAGTGAATCACTTTATGTCTTGGTGTAGCCATCTTCTTTATTAATACTTGTTTCTTTCTTCTTCATGATGTGACATCCAATCTGTTATCCCACATACAGTAGTACTTCATATTATGTGCACATAGGGATGACTTTAGTGACCTCTTCTATCTATTGTTAGTGAGCAAAGCAAGCCAAATTGAATATATGTATGCTTGTAGATAGTGCTGTGCATCCCGTAACACTTTGCATTAAACCACTTAAACTTTGCATGCTCTGATAATAGTAGTCGAGACCATCATTCGCAGTGCTAGAGTACAGGCTGGACATGGAGCCTTGAGCATGTATATACAACAGTAGCTGAGACAGTGTGATGTCGTGCAACCTGTTTGGCCGTACTTTGTCTAATTAATGGTTGGTATTTTGACACCACCAGGTACCTCACATCCATTCGTACCAGTATTCTTTCTACCCAACCGACACAGGTACGTATGTAGGTACATTACACTAAGTACAGAATATGCCATAGCACTAGGGCCATCGACCACGCACCCAGAGCAATGGGCGGAACATTAAAGAGCTCATTATGTGTGTAAAGTTTCGATTTCACTTACACTTACCCTACTCATTAAGACCCCTATGGCATTCCTACCAAATTGCCTTTCACTGAGGGCTTTATGTATGTGTAGGAGCAAAGCAATGAGAATGGTGAAGATGGCTCTTATGAGAACGTGTCAGGTATATATGTATATACTTGTGTATGACACAGATAGGGGGAAAGGCTCCACTGGTAGCTTTCCTGTTTCATGTGTTGACTGAGAACAAGGTTTGATTTCCACCTGCAAGCCAACCGGGCTTTCACTGCACTGAATTAGTGGATGTTTGCACTCTCTGCTCTCTCTCCTTTCCTCCTTAGCCCAGACAGAGTAGAGCTGCTTACTCGGAACTCCAGGTCTTAGATGTGGGCAGCTGGCATGTGTGTGTGTGGCTGAACAGAGAGAGACTAGGAGTTAGTGTTTACAACCTCTTCCTCGGGTTCCAGTAACAGTAGTCGGGTTTTATTTCAGCCTTATTTGTGTGCAGTGTGTGCCCCTGTTGAGAGAGGAGAGCTTTTCCGTTCCGTCTGTTTTGTGTAAATGTGACAACAACAAGGTGGTAGCAAGGCAAAGGCAAAGCAATCAATCAACTACACCCAGGACAAGCTAACATACATAAGGCTGGCGAGGGTATATATATACAGACATTTCTCTAGCCTTTTGCCCCAAGTGTTTGCATTCCTTGGAGATATATACACCATTAGGAAATTATCTAACACAATTTTTCCTTGTGTGTGTGTTATGTTGCTCTCCCTCTCAGAAGGCGAGGCTAGTGAGGAGGAGGAACATGCGGAGAGTCCAGTATCTCCTCATGCACAGCTGCAGAGCAGCGACACAGAGCCACCCAGTGAGCTAATAAGTAGGGGCAGAGCACGACAGAGAGACACAGCGAGTGAACGTACACAGAGCCAGGACTCGAGAGAAACTCCCCACCGCAGCTCAGAAGAAACGCCAACCACAAATCCCGAGGCCCGCACTAACAGGAGAATGCGACGGAGACTGAAAGCGAGCAAACATACACAGAGCCGGGGCTCGCGAGCAACTCCCCACAGAGACATACTAGAAACGACGACTCCGGAGGACCGCACTAACAGGACACCCTACAACTTGAGAAACCAGGGGTTCAAGGGGAGGAAGAGGAAACGAGGTTGGCCGAAGGGAAGGAAAAGAAAGGTGGTGGTCGATTCGATAACAGAGTTGCCCTCAGTAGACACTGTTGTGGTGAGTACGGCAGTAGAAAACAGCGATTTCACTGCAGAGAGGAAAACAAGGAGCAGATTGCAGGAAAAACACAGCCGCTTTTCTCCAACAGACAGGAGAAGCAGCAGCCGGTTGCAGAGTGTAAACAGCAGTTATGGGGTAGAGGGGAGAACGGTCATGCTTCAGCTCGGACTCACTCCTGTGAAGGTGATCAAATCACCTGACACCGTACAGCGCCACACTCCCCTGCCGAGAGCTAATGCCCACCTCACGTTGAGGAAACATGCAGAAATGGGAAACAAGAGGGTGGGAGTAAGTGCTGGGTTGTCAGGTTCAACAGACACGCCCGAGTCCAACCGGACAGAGTACATCGCTCGACTGAGGAAACTGGACCACCGGAGAGACAGCGAGGAGAGGGTGGAAGTGGTTGAGGCGGGACTGGAGCCTCCAACCAACAGGTACCAGCTGCGACAAAGGGGAGATGTTGTACCTGATTCAGACGGTAGTCTGTGTGAGGCAGTGGAGGAGGAGGAGGAGATGGCAATACAAGGAAATAGGACTGCAGGAAGGAAGCGCAAGAGATGGGCATCGGGCAAAGGATCAGCAGGTGAAAGGGGCGATTCCCCAGAGTGGGCTCTGTCTAGGAAAGAGCAAGCAACTGAGACTGGGACCCCACGGGAGGGTCACCAGGAGCCAAGACACAAGAGACGGGTGGTTTTCTATGGGTCAGGAGACAGCTCTCAGGAGAGGACCAGTAGTGGGGGTAGTGGCAGTGGGATGAAGAAGAGGGGGAGAAAGAATAAGGCAACCTTGAGAGAGGTGGACAAGTCAAAGTTCAGTGTGAACCCGAGGGAGGGGGACAAAAGGAACAATGGGGGAGGGGGTGGAAGTGGCAATAATACCGGTGGCGCCCCACAGAGGAGTCGACGGAAGCAGGTCACCCCTCGGAGGCTGGTTCGAATGGTGAATGACAGGCTGGTGTTACAGGTCTATTTACCTCAGGGTGATAATGACAACGACAATACCAGTTCTGCTACAGTTGAACAGAAACACACAATACACAACAAGGGAACTACTAATATGGATGGTCTGTCAACCGAGCACCGTTCAGGTGCCCATGTCTTGGCACGTACCACAGAGAGCAGTAGTGAATGCGAAACTGCAGACGATGGCGTTTTCAGGAACCTACGCCACGGTAGTCGCACAAGACACCATCGCCACAACCCTTCCATGGGCAACCACAAGCCACGTGATTTCTCCTCTCCCTCCCGCCATAAGCCACACCCATCCTCTCTAACCAAGCCACACTTACCCTACTCCACCGCCTACCATCACCCACACCCACCTACCCGCCACAGGCTACACCCTCTCTCCTCCACAGGTCACCACAGGGTGGTAGACCTCGCTGATACGCACACGATAGAACAATCCCAGCCCAACAGCCAGTGGGACTATGTGGCCGTTCAGACCATCGCAGAGTACGTTAAAACTCACTCAAGACGCTCCGCCCACCACAACCCTCAACAACACAGTGGTGGTAGCAGGCGAGGGGCGTCGGACATAGAGATGAGTGACGGCCAGCAGATGATGTGCTGCAGCAGTGAGGAAATGGCCCTGGCTACTCTGGTCCATACCGATGTTGCTGACGATGATAAGCTGAGTGTAGTTTCTGAGACCAGTCCCGGGTCTTCCTCCCCCGTAACACCTGCTTTACTGTCCCTGGACGTCCTCAGAAAGCGGAAATGAATTTTTATACACCTGCATGACGCTGGTTATACTGTGTTTTTATGAGTCCGTATTTTTTGCGCGAGACGGGCGGCCGAAATGTTTCGCAGTGCTCCTGCAGCCGCGCTGCTCTTTTTCCTTCTCTTCTCGTCGCAGGACGGTGTAGGTATGTTCGTCGTATGCTAAGATTAGCCGGTATCAGTGTCTTTAGCAAGGCCTTGCATGTAATCTTATAGCCCTAGTTGTAGCGAGTCGCAATGTACGTACATGTAGCTATAGTATACAGCGATAGCGATAGCTAACGATCCTGACATTCAAGTCCACTGCCTGCTGATTCCCAGGCTCGACTTGTGTGGCCAATCTTCCACAGAACGAGCAGGAACTGCGGCAGTTAGTGGAGGAGCCAGGAGCTGCACCGTCTCTGAAGTATGGAGACGAGGCTCGTCTCTTCCCCAACGTCACGTTCAGCTGCAGGGGCAGTGTAGTTGGCTGGAGCCTCATAGCACCACTGCATGACAATCCCCCGGGGCGGAGGCCCATCATGAATGTGTGGTCTCCAAAAGCTGACAGTGATGAAGAGTACGAACAGTTGCGGGATAACAGCACTAACCTCATACCCTGTTTGAAGGAGATAATAAGTGAAGAGAGACAGCTCTATCTGTACGAGAACACCACAATGGAACCGCTGGAGTTTCAACCTGGCGACATCCTAGGCATGGTCCTACGCGATACAAACAAGAATAACTCTATATTCACGCCATACATGTTGAACAAAATATGGTTTGTGGCTTATTACCGTGATGCTAAAAATGCTAGACCGACCGAGAACATCCGTGGTTATCAAGTTGATAGCATGATGCCACTTCTTTTTCTGCACATATGTAAGTTACCTATACACTAACTACTCCGCAAGATAATAGTCTTGTTCCTCCAGGCTCTATGGATGATGGAGACTATGAGAGATGTCTTAAAGACTACGGAAGGTAAATGTCCTTGTTTTTGTTCACTCCCTTGCTCCTTAGGCACACCTTCCATTTATGTAAATAACGCACATAGTATTCGTGTTACATAGCATTCAAGCTATAGCCTTGTACCGAGAGACTAATGCGTGAGGTGCAAACTTTCTAAGAAGAATGTGACCTAGCTGCCAAGTGTGCGATAGTAACATGATACTCCTTTCCACTACAAGGTGACCGCAATGACATTCTTTGAGGAAATTGCAAAACACTTAATAACAATTGAACGTGTTTTTATTAAACGCAAAATTGCAGAGGTGTTACGTGGACCTCATCATAGTTGTTGTTGTCCTCTGTAGACCACCTACTATGTGCATAGAAATCAACCCTGACACCAGGAGTGGTGATGAAGATGAAGATGAGGGTGGAGTGTCACAGACGGTGCTGGCTGTGGCACTGGGCGTCTCTCTCATTGTAGCTCTCCTGGTAGTGTCCACACTGCTGGGCCTGACTCTGGTCTACATAGCAGTCATCAAGAGGAGACAGAGGAGGAAGGAGAAGGTCACAGTGACTGTCATGACAGACAATACCAACATTCGAAGTGAAGCTCAGCCCTATGGTTAGTCTGGCAAATTCCAAGAACCATGAATGATGGTGCCATATCTCTCTCTTTTAAAACAGCCGAGCCTTTCCCATCTCGTACCCACACTCCCTTGCCCCCACCCCCAACCCGACCTCCTCCTCCACCTAACGGACTGAGCATCGAACAACCCACCTACGCCACCCTGGACGGGCCTACCCCCTCACCACCTCCTCCTTATTCCCTGGATCTCCACAGCAGTAGACCACCTCCTCTAGGGAGCCTCCAGTCTCCACAGTATGAGAGTATCGATGGCCAGGAGAGAAAGGCTGCTCTCCTGAGGCAGAATGCCACAGAGTCCAACATGGACAGTGCCGGTGGCTACTCGGCCAGGGCTCCAGGAGCCAACAACGTCACCACTGCGATAGACTCCGATAACAATCAGTGATACCGTGACCGTGTCTTGATTTGTAACTCTGTGTGTGTGTGAATTTCACTTATAGCTGTATGAAAATCACTTTTCTGGATCACAACTTATCTCCGGTACTGCTGCATCCAGTCCGGCTTTCTCCGCTGCTGAAAAATTAGCTGATCGACCGCGCGCGACAGTAACTAAACACCAAGATTATTGGTCTTCAGCTAACAGTCCCAGGAGAATTAGATCAACTTGTTTGATGTGCAATACAATACCTCTCATGCCTGCAACGATGTATTTAGTGACCGTGCAGCTTGAGCCATAGCTACTTACTTGCGTAAATCTACGGCTCCGCTTTGCAGGACGCGGTCTCCCGTGCAGGAAGATTACTATGTCAACGCTACTCCTCGTCCTAGCTATGACTCTAGTCAGAGGTAAGCCTTATTCACTCTCCCTATAGCCTCCTAAACTGATCTAACCTGCAGCCCATGCTAGCTGCATACATGGACTGCAAGACTACAACAACCTCACTTCAATGACAGAGGAAATTCTTGGTGGCAGGAACTATACAGTAACCTACTCTACCCACTACATCTTCACGTCTTTCCAGTTCAGCTGCTCTGGAGTCATCACTGACTGGGCCATTCTGGCTCTGGATGACCGGCGAGGCGCAAGGCCTGAGATTAGCATCTGGACTCCCATTGAGAATGCCAAATACACCAAGTAGGTTTGTTTAGTAACTGTTGGCAAGCTTATGTTCACAACCAAGGTTTAGTAAGTTATAAGCATTTTAACTCTGGTGGTATGTATAGGAGAGGAGGGGTACTGCTGGAGGACTGCAGCAGTGGGACCGAAGAAGTGGTGGAGGGGTCACAAGTCTACCTCCACCGAGTGAGAACCACGGAACCCCTGAGGTTCCAATCAGGAGATGTGCTGGGCATGCTTGTGAGGCAGCAGAGGTCAGCAGACATTACTCCGCTGGTGGTAGAGGAAGACCAGCCAACCGGGTACCGCAGAGACAGGAACGGAGTGTTTCAGACTGGAGCCAACGCTACCGCTGGATCGACTGTAACCAGTTTTGCACCACTCCTCGCACTTATACTCTGTGAGTCCCTGTATGCTAGCTAAAAGTTTAACAGATTTGTGAAATTTAGGTGTTGATGATCCAGAAACTAACTCAACATGCTCGGAAATTGAACATCCTAGGTAAACTCTACGAAACAATACACTACATGTCGTATAGAGATTGTCTTCGTCTCTCTCATTGCTCAGCGAGGCCTGCGTCCCTCTTGCGTCCCCTTCTCCCTCTCCCTCTCCGTCCCCCTCTGTTACCATCTCCTCGTGGGTACTAGTCGTTTCCATTGTGGGGCCGTGTCTTCTTGTGCTGGTGGTGCTGGTGATGGTTGTGATTGTGGTGTGCTGTGTGAGGTCCAAGAGGAAAGACAAAGTTGACTTCACTTCTCCTCAGGCACAATGTAAGCACATGACAAACTAGAACATGTATAATTATACACAAAGAGTCCAGGTATAATTTCTCCATTGTGCCAGGGGTAGCTAACCCTGTACACAAGGCATTGGAGAGAGGATGCAGCTTAGTTTTCGTACATTGCCATGCCGCTTGTTGTTTGTGCTGCTATATAGCTACACAAGGGGGTACACGTGCAGATGTTCATTTGAATCCTTAATGAGAACTGAGTGTGTGATGTCAAGTCTCACTGTACTACTAGAGCAGCCACACAAAGAATTTTCCAGGATGTGGCGAGTAGTGTTATGTGGCAAACAGAGTCTCCACTCTGATCTATTGAGAGGAGCATGCAAGTTATTCATAGGTCTTCTTCAGCTGACACACATTTACACACACATGCATTAGCTATGCACATCCACACATAGCATTAGGCCCCTCATTGAGGCTCTCTATACTATGTATTCCTAGCAGCAGATGTCCATGGCATTATTCCTTTCATCTTCCGTTCCTTCGATCTGTACTTAAGACAACCTGAAATATACACCCAGTGTGCTAAGAAATGTACACTGGAAAGTGCTGTTTGTTGATTGAGCCCTTGTCCTAATTGCAGCTACATCCACCATGGCCATGATTTCCTACGACACTCCTTTCCCGGCCAGTGGCAGTGCAGCAGCAGCCACACACACATACGAGACACCACTCAACCGACCGTCGAGACCGTTTGTGACAATCTCATGTGACGACATTATCAATGGGAGGGACACCCAGGTGATTGGCAATCACACCAGGAGTGGGTCCAATACGGAGGCCTCACTGTACGAGGAGCCACTGGTGTCTGCGCCACAGTACGACAGCATACTGGGATCACAGGTGAGGAGAGGGGGGAGGGAGGGAGGGAGGGAGGGGAGGGAGGGAGAGAGGGAGGGAGGGGGTAGAGAATTTTATAACAGAGCTACAGCCCCAGTTGCTCCCTCAAAAGCTACCTCCCCTAAAGGAAAACACACTCTTGGTGTAAACCAACAGCACTAACTCATAAACAAGTGGGGGAGATCTATAAAAAATATACTTTCTGTTCTCAAACATCAAAGAGTACTGGTTTATGCTTTTCTCAAAGGGCATTCGTGGGATTCAATGCCCATGAATACTTGCCATCTTTTGAACCAGTCCCTACTTTCTCTTTCCATCTTCCCCCATTCTACCCATACCACTGTCCCCCAGCATCAACATGTTTACGATGCCCTAATGAGCGCCGAGTCCAGTCAGCCACCGGTGTTCTCTCATCACAACTCCCCCCACCTCCTCCCCTCCCCCAGCGGGACTCGACCACCCTTCTACCACACTCTGGAGAAACCCCAGCGTTCCCCCAGCCCCTCCCCTCCTCAGATCAGAGCCCACAGGTGCTAGCCAACGTCACTGGCATTAAGCTATGCTGTTACTCTAGTTTCCACTAAGCATTAGTTAAAGCACAGAAGAAAGTGCTACCAAATTAAGAGCAAACCACTATTAATCTTAAATGCTGCATATCTGACAAATTGCGATACTGTTCACCTTATAATATGCAGAGTTATTAACTTTTCATGTGTCCATTGCAGGGCTGGTAAACCAACAAGTCCTCTGGCCACACGAGCATTCCGAGAGAGCCAGGACTATGTGGAGACACTGGGAGAGCCCAGAGCCACTGCGCTTAGAGGTCACACAGGCTCCATATCCTCACAGCATGGCTCTCGACTCCCTCCGGCCTACCAGATCATCTCCACCAGCGGCCACCTACGACTCAACACTGGAGTCTATGTCCCCACACTTGTAGGCTACTCCTCCATACACTCTCTCACACACAACTCTCCTATGATTTTGGCAACTTTCCAATGCAAGAATGTTTTAATAACTCTTGTAATCATATGCATAGCATTGAGAGCAGTTACTTGTTTATTTGCTGGCTGGCCATTATTAAAGCCAAGGTTTAGCAATCTTTCAATAGTGGTTATATCGGTGGCTCTGTTCCAAGAGGGGTTTCAGAGATGCTGTGTGTGAGGTTGTTTTTGATGGTGGGTGTTTGTTGGTCATGAGGAGATTACTGAAAGGGATGTATTGCATTCTGTGGCCAGTGTGAGGTGACAATGTTAGCGGTATACTGTGACTCCAGTAATGTGGATCATTGAACACTGACAGCCATTACCTAGCACCACTAGCCAGCTCTGTTTTCATCACACCCAGTCAGTATTATGGCCAAGAGTGTGTGTTGTGACACTGACTGTAGGAAATTGATCGTCATCAGGTTCACCAGAGTTTTCAATCACACAGTTCCTGGTGGTTACCCACCACAGAGTGACGACCATCCGTAGTTTGTTAATGGTGTTTACCTTGTTGGCAGTGTGGCCAATAATATTATGCTTCTAACGAACTATAACATGACTGCACGTAATTTAACTCCCACCTTCTCTCCTTTCTCCTTCCGCTCCCTCTCTCCCTCTCTCCTCCCTCTCTCCCCTTCACCCTCTCCATTTGACAACAGCAACAACGCTGCAAGTTTTCTCAAGATCCAATATTCGATGACAGCATTTATGCTGTCCTTAGCAAAGTAAGCCAGCAATCAAATTGTGTCTTCACTATGCAAGTCAGTGAGATAAACATGGTTCCACCTCGTGTTTCAGGCTCCCAACAGCCCACTGGCACACAACTGGAGTTTCTTTACTGAGACTGAGGCCTACTGGAAGCCTGCCTCTGACAAGGCCCAGCTCTACAACCAACTCAACACACAGAAATTCCGAGAGATCAACCGGAAAAAGATCGAGTTAGTTTTACCAATAGTTAGTGGCATAGCTACCGCCTCTTAACTAAAAAGACGTAAAAGAATTACACCTCACCAAATGAGGGTGATTTCAGAAGTGTCCTTTTTGGGGTCAATATCAGACTTATTCACTTCCCCTCTCTCCTCTCCTTTCTCTCCATCTGTCCTGGTCACTGTGCTGCAGGATCACTGAGCACCTTGGTTCAGGGGAGTTCGGGACAGTGTGCAAAGGGTTCTGGCACACCAACAGTGGGCGTCTGGAGGTTGCCATCAAGATGGCTCAGAACCAGGTACACATTGCGCATCTGGGGTAAGGTGCAAGTGCTTCACACAATATATAGACACTACATCGATGCACACACACACTAAGCTACATACTGTATTGCTGATCCTCAACCTACAGTGGAAGGCTGGCTATTAAACAACACACTTGCACACACCGACAGGCCACAGACCAGGACAAAGTGAGATTTCTTCAGGAGGCAGCCACCCTTGGACAGTTCCAACACCCCAATATAGTCCGTCTACATGGAGTGGTAACTGTCAATGACCCAGTCATGATCCTCCTGGAGCTCATGAAGAAGGGAGACCTCAAGAACTACCTCAAGACACTCAGACCAGTGTGAGCCACACATAGCCACACTCAGACCTGAGCCGCCGTGCAAGCTAAAGCCATGCATAATTGTCCAGTCCTAAGCTATGCTATCCAGTAGAGTCTGTTTCAGACTCAGGCCTCTGTATAGGTAATTGATACACTCTACAGCACCAGTGGACTTCTTATCGCAAGCAGTTGTATGTACTTCAGATCTGCCTGCCCCTGTTACAGACTGTTTTTCAGTCCAGCAACTAGCTTTGAGCAATGGGGCTTAGCTCATGCAGGTCTGAAGTACTGTACTCTCTGGAGACAGGGCTTCAATACAACCTGCACCAATACTGCCTGGCTATTTCCACACACACACACACACACACACACACGCTGTGCCCTGAAGAGCCATTATGTATGAGCTACTCCTCACTCACAACAGGCCGGGGAGATGGTGGTACAGCCACAGATGAAGCAGAGACTCCTGAGGTTCTGTACTGAGGTGGCTCTGGGCCTGGAGTACCTGGCCAAGAAAAGCTTCATCCACAGAGACATTGCAGCCAGGAACATCCTCCTCGCCGACAACTGCACCTGCAAGGTCCCCCTCTGGTTTTAGCAAATCCAGTAGCAGATATGTATTCTTCTATGGTGTTAATGTATTATAGCGGGGACAGTATAAGGTTGAAACAAAAAAAGTTGAGAAGTGAGAAAATTGTCCCACAGGGAAAGTTGTTACCCTTGAAATACTGTGCCATTGGCCTTTGTTGCTCTCCAGATAGCCGACTTTGGCATGTCACGAGACCTGGAAGACCAAGACTACTACTGCTCTGTCGGTGGAAAGGTACCCTTCAAATGGACTGCTCCCGAGGTTTGCTATCATCTTTATCCAGTGCTCTGTGACTGACAGTGCACACACACTCCGTGCAGGCTCTCCACTACAGGAAGTACTCTAGTGCCAGTGACGTGTGGAGCTACGGAGTTCTGCTGTGGGAGATATGGAGTCTTGGACACACTCCTTACAAAGACTACAACACTACTGAAGAGGTAAGGCAGTCTCCTGCGTTGTGGGTTACGCATTGTACGTACGCACAAGTGACTTGGAAATGTATGACGGGCACCAAGGATACGTAAATTAGCCCAAACTAGCCCAAACTCCTTGTAATCCCTGCCACTTCAGGAGCACAATAATGCAGGTGCCCGCGTGGGCTATAATTGCCTGGTTTTGCCCAAACCCTATTGAACCCACCTGCAGATGACCTGCATAGTAGATGACAAACAAATGAGCAAGCCTGTACATGGGAAATTGCATGGTGCTGCACTATAACGTGTTGGTCAGCCATGTTGACCCTGGCTAATGCCTTTCTAATACTCACTTGTGTATGTATACTTCGACATGTAGGCAACTGCCCTGATCAACAGTGGAGCTCGTATGCCACCTCCCCCCGGCTGTACCAGAGCCATCTACAAACACATGATGGACTGCTGGTAACACACAGCTTGTGATAATATAGAGCCATACATCCTTCCTGTAGGAGTTCTCTATATACACATGCTGCCATTGTCTCCCGCCTCAGGAACCCCAAGGCCTGTGATCGGCCTACATTCACATACCTGGTGAAGGCTCTCCACCTCCCGAGCAGTCATATCCTACTCTCCAACGGTGAGGATAAGGAGGGAGAGAGGGAGAGGGAGGAGGAAGAGGAGGAGGGAGAAGGGGTGGAGCACTCACAGGCCAACTGTCTGGGAGCTGATCTAGAGGCCGGTACCGGTCTCTACCGTGACCTGCAGACCATGTACTCCAACATCTCTGTGTGATATTTTAAACTGGTTATAGTGGAGATATAATTATTCATTATTCTCCCTCTGTGTATTATAATTACGAACACTGCATACAGTGGAATAATCCATACATCTGCAAGCACTACATATGTGATGCAACCAGCCTTGCACGTGACAACGCTCATCTCTCTCTATACTGTGACTCTTGCCGAGTCTCTCAAAGCTGATTATTTTCCACGTGTATACACTTTTTATATATATGCATGACAAGGTAAGATTACATAATGAGTAATGGCATGGGTGAAAAGTCTACAATAGGTTAGATGCCAAGTCCAGGAAACTACGCCAATTAGAGAGCCGCGGGGGCTCTGAGCTGTCGGCGAGGACACTACTAAAGGACCCCCAAGGCTCCCATAATTTACATATGATATACTACTGAATGTTGTGTTGAGGACTAGAAAGGGTCTATATAATAACAAAATATTTCGTCGGAATCAAGTCTTCATCTGAATCACTTTCCTCATCTGATGAATCATAATATTGACTGAACTCAGAATCTGAAGAGTAAACACTTCCCCTGATCTCTCTGCAGCTCGTCTGAGTCATCTTGGCCATCAGGTTCCGATAATAGCATTGTGAAACATGATCCAGTACTAAACTGTAGCTTACTCTGAGGTCTTCAACATATTGATGGAGGTTAGATAGTCTCAGACATTCTTTGAGACGAGGGTCTAGACCAGAGAATGCCGACAAAACTGCAGTGTCCGGAGCAGTGAATGACGGAAGAGAGAATAATGTCTTTGACTTTGTCATTGAGAAGAGTCTTTGAAAGTTAACCGTTTCGGGTTTATTTAATGGAAATCCCCTGATACTTCTCTCCCAAAAAAGGTGAGTCTGGAGATGTGTCAAATCAGATGACGAGAATGATCTCTTCAGACTCCGACATGTACCAGCACCAATAGCCCCAATATTGAATTGTTGAAGAGGTCCAAGTCCTGTCCACTGACTGTGCTCCTGAAACTTTACAACCGTAGTTTGACTTTGTTTTCCAAAATATTCCCCACCAAATAGGGGGGGAAATAATCCACATCGGATCATTATCGTTTTGAGAGTAGTGTTTTCCTTGAGAATGTGGTTTAGTTCCAGAAGGAAATCAGTACAAGTGGTCTTTTCTGGTAAAAGTACTCGTTCAAATTGTGTGAAACAAGATTTAAAATGACAAGAAGACGATGATAATTTTGATGGCAACAGAGGATCATTGTGTATAGCAAGGTATGTTAGTGTTGTATTTCTTTTCAGTGCACTACATATGTAGAGGATTCCATCATAGCCAAGTCTGGCTCTCCTCAGCTCCAGTGTAGTCAGATTGGGACAGTGTAGTAACAATTCACGGACACCAGACATATTCTTACGCGATATGCTGGGCAAGAACAGTTTAGTGACTACCTCTGATCTCAAAACTATTTTCAAAACAGATTCCAACATCACATCAGTTGAGCTGCAAACTTTATAAATTGATTGGCAGGGGAATTTGACATTAAGCACAATTTCCTTAAGTTGTTTGGGCCACCAAAAAAGATTAGTTGGTGGAGGACTGCACTCAACAGTGCTAAAAATGTGTAAAGTTTTCAGTTTACTGAGATAGGTCTTAAGTGCTGTTAGCCACTCCCAAGATGTGGGGGGATTGATAGATACGTACAATGATTGAAGTTTAACAAGTTTTTTAAACAATTGATGTATAAGAGCACTGCTTAACACTTCAGAATTTAGTTCCATACTTCCAACCTCAGTCAAATCAACTGCAGCCATCAACCAACCAATACACTGATCTATATTCTTCAGATAGGTATTCCTTAACTTAATTTGAAGATGCTCGACTACCAGTGCAGTAGATTTGCAGTGATCACCCAAGCCTTTAAAAAACACTTCCAAAGGCGAAATCTTATTTTCCATCATTTCAAGTGACAAATAAAACCTATCTGAGGATTGTGACAGGCAGTATGAAAGAGCATAGCAATAATATGGTGTACTTTTA